AATTGAGATAAAGTCCTGTTATGATTCTCCATATTGCCCTGCTGTTGGAAAGTATACCGCAAACCTTGCAGCTGCGGGAACCCCTCTTCAAAGGGGCCTCTAGTTTAATTATCCTAAAACACTGAAAGCTATGCTTCTGTTTATAAAACTACTTTTACTTGCAGGATTGTTTCCGTTGTGTGTTGTGTTTCAGAGTGTACAGATTTTGACTCGGATGTGAAGAAGAGAGGACATAGAAATTTGGAATAATATATGAGAAAAGGGGCCCCAAATTCAGTTCTTGCAGGGAACCCCAAAATTTAGCCGACCTTATTTTCAAGTGTGAGATTTTAGAATGTGTTTTGTTCTAAGTCATACTTAAACTGAATTTGGTTCCCTAACTTGAAACCCAGTTTCCCAAAAATAGATGTCGATGGGTGTAGTGCATTCCAGTTTTTAGGTGGCGACAATTCTCACCCATTTTTCTTCCTTTATCCGACCACCCGAATAATTTTTGGTGTAAAAAATATGAAGTTTCTCGTTATGAATCTTTGTCGAGACGCCCGTTACTTCGTCTCTTATGGGTCTCAATATTCTCCTCAAAACACCGTTCTCAGACGCCTTCAATCTACGTTCTTTCTTTTGGGCTCGAGACTAAGTTTCACACATATGCAAAACAACAAATATAAATCATTAACTATTTCAGCACCATACAAATGACAGCTAGGCTGATATTGGAAGGTTCTTAGTTGTTAAACTGTACAATTCGAGTGAAACAATTACGTTGTTGAAAAATGGAAAAAAGTTAAAATAATTTTTACCTATCATATGCGCAGTCAATAATAAGCAAAATTATAATAACAAAATATTGCTAATTTTTTATATTCTGTTTGTATGAATGTCTCAAGGATTCTGCCTCATCGAATTAAAGGGCTTTTCTTCTTTTCTATAACATCAAGACTCAGGCCTCTGGGTCGTGTTACGCGTTCACCGCTGATCCGATCAACTTCTTCAAGGTCTTCTAACATTTAATCTTCCCCGAGGTCTGTATTGCATTACTGTGTTAGGCAGTCTACTATCCTTCATCCTGTCCACGTGATCCCTCTATTGCCTTTCATATTTTTCCGTATCCATTACTATCTTGGCTATCCATAATTGTCTTCTCAAGTATCCCTTCTGCGACGCTATGACCTCATGCCAGTAATGGGATCGCCGTGCTGAAGCGGCAACTTCTCCGACATCTGCGTTAGGGGTGTAGTCTAAGCAAGCGTAGCAAGGCGTACCGTTGGGTTACAGTGACTGTCCCAATTACAGGTCACGTTTTTAGACCTGGCGTCCGGGATAGGCATAAGAACAGAAGAAACGTATGGCAGTAAGTTGTGTTACAGTGATTGCAGCTGTATTGTGGGAGAGACTGTGACGAAATTTTTTTACTAATCCATACACTCCCCACAATCATCCCAGTTAGCGGACTCGACCATATCCACTGCGCAGCCAGATGACAATATGCAGGCCTATAGACATGAAGATTACACATGCAGATGCCCTGTAAATCCTAACCATGAACTGGCAGGCTTCCTACGTTAGTGTTTCTCCAATATTATGACTTTTAAGTTATTATCATAGCTATATAAATTAGAGGAACCTGAATAACTCAGTCTGTATAGCGATGTGCTACAGGCTAGACGGCCTGGGTTCGATTCCAGGCTGGAACAAGAGATTTTTTCTACTCCACAGCATCCATGCTGATTGTGATGTCCGCCCAGCTTCCTAAAAAATGGATACCGGGGGCTTTTTGGTGGGGGTAATGCGACCATGGCGTGAAGCTGACAAATATCTTCCATCTACTGCCGAGGACAAGAAATATGGAGACGCACCTCCAGTCTGTCATATGTTTTCAAGGCACAGTGCTTAGCTAATTAACAACTTTACCTCTTTTCCTACCTTAGCAATAGAAATTAATTACAAATTTTGGTTTCTACTGTGCGATATAGAGTGACTCAGATAATTTATTCGAATTGCAGTATGTGACCCTCCTCCTGACCGCCAGCCTATCTGACTGATATTCATTGCGCTTATCTTCGATTTCCCTGTCTCAATATAGACACCCTTCGTTCTACGCGCTTCCATTATCCGCCTTTTTATCATATCCGCGGTTCTGAGTCAGTGTCATGATGAGCCACGGTAGAAGCTGCTCCGCATGCGCAGCGAGTTGCGTGCTCAGTATCCTCACTCCCACCACAACTATTATCCATGCTTCTTGCTCACACATCGTGTTCATTTTATGTTTAGTGCGTTTTCCAGTTTTACGCTTTATCGATATACGTGGTGATTGTCAGGAATGCAACCACGGAGTATAACGACAGTCATTTGTATAATAAATTTTTACATGGTAGCCACTTCCAGGTTTGTGCGTTGTTATGGTCTCATAAATCGCAACTTCATCGGCGGAAATAACCTGACATACAGAGGTCGTTTTTTTTCCTTTTAGATTCTTTGGGTGGGATAAGACTGAGTCTCACTGTGCCCTCTATCGGACAGACATTTAACTTAAGCCGTTTAACTTGGAAAGGAGGGAACAAGGTAAAGATATGAAAGGGAGATAGAATGTGAAGGATAAAGTTACGAAAGAAATTGTTTCTGGTGAATTTCGAAGGGCTTTTCTACTAAAAAAAACTCAAGTTTTAGTTTAGTTTCTAGGGGTGGAGTGAGACTGAGTCAACCTCATACGTCGGCCACTAACTGGCCTATCGTACCAGCCCCGGATGGCAGATGATGAATGTGGAGCAGTCGGTGGAATGAGAATTGGTAGAGGAAACAGAAGTACTCTGAGAAAACCTGCCATAGTGCTACTTTGTCCACCATAAATCCCACATCACCTGGGATCGAACCCGGGCCGCCGCAGTGGGAACCAGGCGACTAACCGCCTGAGCTATGGCACGGCCTCTCGAAGACCCGTAGTTTTAGCATCCATATCTGCAGTCCACGCTTGGGATAGAGACAGCAGAGGAGATACTATCGTCTGTTGAGCAGATGGATGGAGTATGAATGGGTATTAGGATGAAGAATGGGTGTATGGGAGATGGATGGATGGACAAGTGGAGAATGAATGGATGGATGGATGGACGTCAGGAAAGTAACAGATGGGTAAATGGAGAAGCAATAACTGAGAATATTGTCACGTAATACGTATGTGACTACAGACGGGGTTTTGAATTGGATATTGGATTTATTGACCACTTTACTACACTAGCATAATTATAACACCATCGCTAATCTCCGCACATTACAAATCACTAGCGCACACGCAAAGTTTCTCCAGTTTGCAGTGTCTTCACTAGTAGTTTCCTGGTAACGGCTCCTAACAATGGCTATTCCTCTGATTTCGAGCTCAAGTCCTCTCTAAATTTCGACTCCCAACTGAACTATTCTTACTTCAATAGTCCTCCATATAACCCCTTTGCACGGACAGAGTAGGAAACGCCGTTTTCCAACAGTACCTCTATTATTGCATCCATTGTCACGGAAACTTGTTTACCGAGCCGTTGCTCAAAAACGGTTCTGGTATATTTGCTTATCTCGCATAGTAACAGCTCTACATGCTACAATAATGTTACATTTTAACACCCTACTGGAGTTGGTATCCGCACTGCACACTAGACAGACAACATGCGTACCGAAAGGCAAGGATGGAGGAACTTCAATTAAAATATTATGAATACGAGAACAGGAATCGCAGTAGCGCGGAAGGCACAGCGGTTCCCCCAATTTCAAGGCACCTGGTGATGGCCGAGTAGTGCGCTACATGTAGTGCAGTGACGAATTTTAAATACTGATATTGTTGCAGGGTGGACGGTAAACAAAAGCAAAAATAAATTCTAAGTGAGCATACGAATTCAGTGATAAAGAATCGATAAGCATGTGGATAAGTAGAGAAGATGAATGTGAGGAAGTATGAAGTATGGACGAACTAGTGGGAACATACGTACGAAGGGGACACAAACATGGACGCCACAAAAGGAAAATAACGCGGATCGGAGAGAGAGATTCGTTCTGAAGCGAAAACTTTTTAGTGTGAACAACGATACGTATAGCAAGTGTCACGTAACTTCGAACAAGGCCAAGAGTAACCTTGAATGTGCAGAAAAAAAATCAGACAAGGGGTTGGGTTCGAGGGTGTGAGAAGTGACAAGAGGCCAATTGTTTGTACAAATACCCTCGAACCCACCCCCCTGTCTGAAATGTTTCTCTGCGCATTCAAGGTTACTCTTGGCCTTGTTCGAAGTTACGTGACACTTGCTATAGTAGCATGAAAATAATCTAGTGCAATACGACGGTTTCATAAAGTGAACAGTTGCCTGAAAATGGCCAAGTAAGGCCGAAGCATATAGAAATTATTAACGTAATTTAAATCTAGTTTTAAATTATAGAGAGATTGTGAACAGTTGTAAGTTGCATTAAGACGGAGACGAATGAGTAAGTGGCAATAGATTGTTGACTGTATGGATGGAAGATGGGTGGATGGATGGATGGATGCAAAATGAATGGGACAAGTAAGTAGAAACAATAAGTAAGTGTGGAAAGATGAAAGATACTGTAAATAAACAAAAAGATCGACAATAGATGAGTCATCTGAATGTGTGATTCCACAAGGGTAAATTGATGGAAATTGTTATCGGTGGAAGAACGAATAACAATGAATGATTTCCATAAATTAAGTTGCATAGAAAATTGTGTCGAAGTCTGAAATTCAAACAAAAAGTCTACTCTAGGACACTGCTAAGGATCTACTTGAGTGTTTATGTGTAGATCCTGCCTTCCAGCTAGAACTGTGGTCATTTAAGGGTAAAATAATATGATTTTATTGCCTGCTCAGTACAAGTTATCCGTTTTCCTTGTTCCCTGACCATATTTATCTTCTGTTCTCTGTCTGATGCAATCCCTGTTTCAGCATATTTCTTACTCAGTGTTCTACATTTGTAGATACCAGCGCGCTTTACAGAAGATATGTTTTGTTGCAGGAGAATCTAACCGGCTGGACCTGGAGGGACCGTTGTTTATCGGAGGTGTAGGCCCCCCCACCGCCCCTCTGACGGTGCCCCCAGTGCTGTGGGCTGGAGTACTACGTCATGGTTATGTGGGTTGCATGCGTGATCTCGTCATCAACGAAAACCCCATTGACATCGCGGGATATGCTCGCCAGCAAGACTCCGGTATGTACAGTGAGGTCCACGTTGTTATGCATCTAGACTCTTAATCCTTGGGTAGGCCGCACACAGGCATGCGTCAAGACATGTAACAGTCAAGACACAATGTCTGCGACATGACACAAAAAAGGAGCACAGTTGACACAAATGAGATTATGAAAACGGCCTCACACTTGTCTGAGTCATGATGCTGACGTCAGCTTCATGCTAACGAATCACGAATGAAGTAAGACTGCGTCTTGTCTCATGTCTTGATGCTTGTCTTGCAGTTGGTATGTGGCCGCCCTTAAAATAGCAGCAACTGTGTTGCATCTTTAATCGTCAGCCTCTCATTGTGAAGACGTGGCCGTGAGATTTATTTTGGATTTGAGTTCTTTTGTCAATTCTCATAACACGAAAGGCTCAGACTGTCATCTGTCACTTGGGCTGGTGCAACGAGCCATTTATGTTCGAAATGAAAGGAGACTGAATTATATTCCTTGCTAAGAATAAATAATGCATCATCTGCTTTGATATCAGTAGAAGTACGGAATTTTGCAAACATAGGGCGTCTATGGGTATCATATGATTGTCAAAGTACACAGTGGCTGTGTTGAGATAGATAAAAAATTTCCGATAAGGGTGCCCAAATTTTAATGATGTGTTATTTTTGACCGTCACCATAACAGATTTGTAAAAATTTCAACAAATCTAATATCACTGAGTTACATTGGTTATATTTAGTGACTGCTACATGTTTCGACGCCTATTTGTATCATCATCAGGCAGTATTTTTAAATACGTCACTCGTTATTGAAATATCTTAATATGGTTCCATATTAGTGTTAATTGTTAAAATCATTATGATACTTGTAATCCTGGCTAATTTTTATGGTAGCATCATTGGCCCCTTCCTATACCTGATATTTACTTCCGATATCCCCCAGTCACAAGAAATAACCCTGGCCACATTTGCAGATGACATTGCAATCTTGTCCTCCCATACAAACCCTAATAGAGCGTCTGAAACATTACAGAACTACTTAAATGTTCTCCAGGAGTGGCTACGACTATGGAAAATCAAAGTGGATAATACTAAATCAGCACAAATAACATTCACCACCAAACGTAGGATGTGCCCACAAGTTACAAGAAACAACGCACCAATTCCTGAACAGTCCGAAGTCAAGTACCTCGGACTCCACTTAGACCAAAAACTAACATGGAAAGCTCACATCCAAGCTAAGAAACTGCAGTTAACAACAAAAGCAAGAAATATGAATTGGCTATTAGGCAAAAACTCCCAACTGTAAACGGCAAATAAACTCCTAATCTACAAAACCATATTAAAACCCATCTGGACACATGGGATTGAACTGTGGGGATGCAGTAAACCCTCCAATATGAAAGTATTACAAACATTCCAGTCAAAAATGCTACGCTCAATAACAAACGCCCCATGGTTCGTATCCAATTAAACCCTTCACAAAGGAAGTCATCAACAAAAAAGCCACCAAATATAGAGACTGCATCGTAGACCACGACAAATATCTAACAAATGAACTCACCGCTCAACCCCCGGCGAACAGAAGACTCCAATGCCTTTGGCCGGAAGACCTAACCTAGGAGACGTGTGAAGACCATCAGCGGATGGTAATCACAACAAGCTACTACGACACTTGAACATTTACTTATTACTCTGCTGTCACTAGAGTAGATTGTAAATTAGCAACCAAATTAAATAAAAAAATATATATTGTGACGTGGAAGGAGTGGGGGTATGTGACGTCACTCGCGAGACCGCAGAGTTCACGTGACCCCTACTTCCTGTTGCGCTATCCACGTCCCGCTATTTTTGTTACGATGTTAGTTTCCGTGTTTCTTACCGTGTATAGTATACGTTCGTATCTTCCGGGATTCGTTGGTACGCATGGATACGCGGTAGCGTAGCACTATGCTACAAGCCGGAAGGTTTCGAATTCCATTCCCGATAAGGTCATCGGATTTTTCAATTTATCTAATCAATCCAGCCGCACTATGGCCCTGGGGTCGACTCAGTCTCTAACAGAAATGAGTGCCAGGGATTTCCTGGGGGGTAATGGGCGGTCGGCCGGCGCGTAAGGCTGACAACCTCACCGCCATCTGTGAACCGATTGTCTAGAAGATGTGGGAGCCTCGACGTCTCACACCCCTATGGGCCTCCACGGCCTTTAAAGGGCCGTCTTTCTTAAATGTTATGAGTGACGCTCGCGTATGATGTTATTAGTTTTGTTATGCCTGTTTCTTGTTGCTGCCCTTATGTTCTGTCATAATTGAGTTGTTTTCTCTTTGGAGTGTGTTGTGTACTTCTTTATGTGAGGATGTTAATTCTTAAGTTGTTCCCGTTCGTGGTTAAGTGTGGACTCCGATGATTAAATATTAAACGATTAAATAATCAATGTTGCCGAACGCGTTTCTGCCCTCATTTTGCTACGCTCAGGGGTAACCACTACTAAAGAAAATTTTACATAAATTACAAAAAAATATTTTAAAATATTTCAATAATATAAATTAAATCTGTTTTTAAATATGAAATCTTTAAAATGAATAATATGCTGAAGTGAGTGATTGTTGGATCCTAGACGCTTTTTATGTTGTCTTGTCAGCGTAATACTGAAGGCTGTGTTATACATGATAGGCTCATAATAATCTTTAAAATGTCTATCTGACATGGTCTTAACGTCTCTGTGTTGGCTTATGTGAGTGGAATTATGGAGAATTATTGTGGCTCGAGGTTCTCACAGTTGTGATTATGAATAGTACTGTCCTCTAAGAGACTTTTCAGAGAAATATACCGCCTCCATCTTCAGGGTCGAAAGCAAACAAACCAAGCAAGTCAAATAACTTCTCCCTTCTCCTATATTACTATTCCATCTCTCTCATTCCTCCTCTTACTCTCTCTTCTTCATATTAAAACAATTTAGGTGAATATCATCCAGAACATGCCTTGATATTGTTGCATTTTAACCCGCTGCTGGGCAACGATCAGGAGATAAGAAAAATACAACATGAGTAACGGCTTCGGAAACAAGCACATTTGCACGGCAACATTTGGAAACATTAAGAGAGAACGGGTGTTATCTATGTGGTCCGTGCTGAGATATTATAAGAAGGGCAGTTGGAGCAATGAGTTGCGAGACAGACCGCGCCATAGCTCAAGCGGTTAGTCGCTGGCTTCCCACCACGGCGGCCCGGGCTCGATCCCGGCTCTGGCCAAGTGGGATTTGACAAAATGACGCTGGAGCAGGTTTCCTCCGAGTACTTCGGTTTCCCCTGTCAATCTTCATTCCACCAATTTCTCCATCATCATAATCACCCGGGGCAGGTACAATAGGCCAATCAGTGGCCGCCGTGCCGAGTAGACCCAGATAGACTCCAACCCCCACTAAGAGAATTTAAAGATTTTATTTAATTTTATTTGTGAGACAGTCGCCAGCCGGTAAGAAATCGAGCACGGAAGCAGAGGACATTGTTGGGGTCCGTCACCGGCCAACGACTGCTAAAGACATAGTAAACTGAGAAGACTTTATATACATATATGCTGTGGTTACAATGATATTTGGAGTGTGCAACTCAGTGAGACTGTCGTAGTTATTTGTAGTTACGAGTGTAAGTGTGCAATAAATGCGGTTACCAATCCAAACCCCAATCATAGTCACTTTATCACGTGATAGTATGCTGCCCAATTCAGTCCACTCAATAGTTCATTATGGGCCAAACAGAAAACGTCGTGTTAGATACATTTCTTTTGCAATCCGTTTCCATGTAAACGACATGAGAAGGTAACGACAAGAGAAAATCCCATCCTGATTAGACTAATTATGTAATGATATTTCTGACGGTCACTTTTTGACGGTTGTTGCCTGTGAAAGCAAACTCGTTCTGTGCCATCGCCGACCATTCAGCCAATGATATTTCATTTTCATCTGTTCCATGTACCTATATTCATTATGTGGTCAGTGATAAGTTGGTAGTAGTTGGTCGTTCTTGTGGTGTTGTCAGTAACTAGGCTATATACCACTGAATAGTAGGATAACAGATGAATTGGGTAGGATTTAGAAGAAAGCGGCCATGGACTAATTGAGGTACTATCCCAGAATTTGAGTTTCTGAGGAACCCACAATACACCCTCAGTCGGTATAACCAGTGTCCCAAGAGAAATTCAAACCCGGCACCTTCCGAATATGAGACAAAAACCATGCCGCTGCATTGAGCTATTCACTGCCAAGGCTAAGGACGTATCAGATGAGAGGATATGAATGTCCTTTTTACTCGGATGTGACAAGGAAATCATACAAACTAAACTTTGTGTGACAGTAGCGTACAGCCACTGGTGTAATGTATACAGAGTGTCCCAGGAAACTAAACTTTGTGTGACAGTAGCTTACAGCCACTGGTGTAATGTATACAGAGTGTCCCAGGAGGTCATAGTATCGGTCATTCTAAGCAAAAATTGTATATATACATACATGTGTCCTACTCCAAAAGTGTTCCGAGGTAAAGCTATTTCACTATACAGTACACTGTACACTGTACAGACGAGAAACACGTCATGTCCTCACACGAGTTGCACCGAGGTAGAGCTATTTCACTGTACAGTACACTGTACACTGTACAGACGAGCAACACGCCATGTCCTCACACGAGTTGCACCGAGGTAGAGCTATTTCACTGTACAGTACACTGTACAGTACACAGACGAGCAACACGCCATGTCCTCACACACGTTACAAACTGCGTTGATGCTGACGGTGGGATTTTCGAAAATATGATTATACTATAGTCCATTCGCGGAGACGAGACAGTTAGCGTAAACAAAGCTAGCCCCGAGTCGCCACAGCTGACAGCAAGGAGTAGACAAAGCGCGCAGTTACTCAGTGTACGCACTGCATTCGGACGCACGTTAACCTGCATTCAGACGGAAGAGTGAACTTTGGACGCCCCTACAATGATACACGCATCACGTGATCGCTGCATGATTTCATTCA